AAAAAAAAAAAAAAAAAAACTCTCGACGGGATGATTTCGTAACGACCGCAGCATTTTACCTTTCTTTATCCAAATTAGAACGGAAAATAATAGGGGCGGCCCATAAATGAGACCCATGAAGTTTCCTAATGGGCCCAATATTGGAGGTATATACTGCAGTAGAACTCCAATAAAGCACGACATTTAATTAATGGGCCGCCCCTAGGTAGCAAGTGCATACATCTTCTCGTCAATTAAGCTCCAATTCTTTGGAGCTGAGTTCCCGGTTCATCTCTGATCGGCCAACGCCGCCGGCGCTAAGAGTTTTGTGTTACTTTTGAAGCCCCGACGAGGTCAGTTTCTACTTCTAATCTTCCAGCCCCAATTGCCCAGATGAACTAAAAGGGGGCGAGGTTCATAATTGTTGACCCATCTTCTTCACTTTAAATCTAGCTCGAGAGGCTTAAGAATTACAGAGTCTCTTGTTCATTGTTGTTCGGAAATAAATTTGATGTGCTCGGTGGAGATTTTTTTATTTTTTATTTTTTTTTTTTAATTTTTGAAGAGAAGATTCTTCTACGTCTCTGAGTGGTTAATTGCTTTGTTGATATTGTGAAATATGTGATAAATTTGAATGCTTTTTATTAGTTGCTGGATGATGAATTTGAATGAACTATGTATTATACCTCCAAGGTTTCCACGATAATGTGTACAGTTTTCAGATATCCATGTTATGTATTTTCTGTGATAAAAAGTGTTTCTGTGATTAAGGTTGGCTCAATTTCTTGAATGTTGTTTCATATGTTTATTATACCCTTTAACGGATTAACCAGCAGATTTCAATCGATAGGGGCAATGAGTTTGATGTTATCATATAGAATGTCATTAGTTTTTAACTTTTTATTATGCTTGAAGTAGCATTAGTTCAATGTTCGTATGGTGTGGAGCAGTCCGTGCAAATTTAGATGCTCTTGTGACTAAGAGTAATGCTGCAAAGTTCCGATTTTTTTATCTTTTTGATCTATACGTGCTCTATCAAGTAGGAAAACTGGCGCCGTTGATTGTACTTTGTAATATGAATCAATTCAGCATATTAAGCCGTGTTTAAAACATAGGACTCGTTCGTGGCAGTACTGATCACATTAGTAGGAGTGTACGCATTACAAAGAGTTAACATTAGTTTTTGCCTCGGCATCAAAGGAATCTACAAGCTTATTGGAAATCCGATTTTATACCTCTCAACTAGTGACTGGTGTTTAAAGTAATTAAAGTTCAAACTCATTTCATTTTGTAGGCCTCACTTTCTCAAAACAGCAATGAGCCGCTCGTTCGAGAATTCCACACTCAAGCGGAAAAGGCCCGACTCACTGCCGCCAGGCCAGGTGGACGCTGAGCGAGCGATCCTCGACGTGATCAAAAGCAAGAAAGACTTGGGCATTTGGACGAGAGACATCAAGTTCGAGACGAAGATTGCAGACAACCTCGTCAACAAATCGATCAAGTCCCTGCTGGCCAAGAAGCTGATAAAAGAAGTGGTCAACATTCAGAACAAAGGGAAGAAGCACTACATGGGGATCGAATTTGAGCCTTCCAAGGCGCTCAGCGGTGGCGATTTTTACGCCAACGGGGCGCTCGACGAAGCCCTCATAGACGTGCTCCGGAAGGTGAGCTATCGGTATATTAGCATC